CGTGCTTTGCTATTTGTTTATGCTTCTGACACAATATAGTGCTATAAATTAAGACACTTGGCGGATTTTCTCATCTTTATTTAGTTGATACGTGTGGAAAAAATTACACGTTTCGAGCTCTTAAGCCCCTCTTCAGTCAACTAAAACATTTAAAAAGGATATAACGTACACATAAAAAGGAATACACAAGTAGAGGTTTTCGTTCTTTTAGGTGTGTTAGTAGATATTGTAAATCAATTAGAGTTTTTTCTATCTCACCTTGTAATTTTTCCTCCTTATATGCGCTGTTCCGGTGTAGTTCTACTTTCATCTTCTCTAAATTCGATGATTTCCGCCGTTTCAATTATAACTTCTTATTTTGATGATATGAAACCGTGCTTTGCTATTTGTTTATGCTTCTGACACAATATAGTGCTATAAATTAAGACACTTGGCGGATTTTCTCATCTTTATTTAGTTGATACGTGTGGAAAAAATTACACGTTTCGAGCTCTTAAGCCCCTCTTCAGTCAACTAGTCACTATCCCAGATATGGCGACAGTCCGGCTGTTAGATTGCTCTACAGATGTCTCTGAGTACCGTCAGTTTAAAAAACTAAAACAACTGTACTTTAAAATGGTGTAAAATGAGGGTTTTTATTAATTAGTGACCCAAATATAACAAATATTTGTGTTTTTAAATAAATTTTCGCTTGTCTCTTTTTTAACTCCTACTTTACCAACAGATAATTAGATAATGACTTTAACAACAGATGATTGGACATTGCAGGATTAACAGCTAATTTATAGCTGTTAAGCATGCAATTTGTCCGATTGTCTATTGGTGAAATAGGGGATTAGTCCATTAATACAGATTTTAATAAATTATAAGATATATATTTACCTTATAAACTTCTTCATATGTTTCTTCATCAATTTCTACAGTTGTAACAGTTTCTTCCACATCACCAAGAATCATATTTAAATGTTGATCGTAAGCCTAAAATAATGTAATTTAATTAAAAAAATAAATACATACAGAGAGTCTTTAAAGTCTTTCTATAGTGATATTGTAGGTTTTAGTTGCCCCTTTCAGTTAAATTGGTTTTAGATCAGTGGTTCTTAACCTGTGGTCCACGGACCACAGGTGGTCCCTGAAAGCATCCGAAGTGGTCGGCGAAAGTTATCCCAAAATTATTAAATAAGTGACGACGCTTTGATGACAATGCGCAGTACGTCAAGGTTAGAACCGATAGCGGACTGGGCTGGGGTATGGTGCGTGGTCAGAAAATATGAAACTGGAAGTCACTAGCAATAAATTTGCATTTGAAGATAAAATCAGTGTGTTTATCGCTAAAATTGACCTATGGATCAGCAAAGTCGAAAGAGAGAATTTTTCTGCGTTTGATATATTGAATCCAATTATTGATTGACAGTGTGCTGAGATTAAAGGACAAATACAAAAGAACATTACATTCTATTTGCAAAGCTTGAAAAATGAATTCAATCGTTATTTTCCTGACTGCAAGGACAAAGGTATTCAGAAACTGATTTGCAGTCCTTTCATAGTCAACATTTCTGAGGTGACGGATGAAATGCAAAAATAGTTAATTGAAATGCAACATGATAGTAACTGCAAGGATACATTCGAGACAGGAATTAATCTTAAAGATTTTTGGAGCCAAAAAGCTATTGCTTTCCCTAAAATTCGAGAAATTGCTTTACAGTGCCTAACTTTATTTTCAACCACATATTTATGCGAGCAAGGATTCTCAGTGCTTTTGATAATTAAAAATAAACATCGAAATCGGTTGGATGCCAGTGCCAACATGCATTTCCTTTGAGTAGCACTGAACCAAGAATTCAGCAGTTGGTAAACAGTATGCAGTCACAAAAATCACACTAAAATAATGTAATTAATGTAACACTTTCGCAAATAATATAATACTCTTGGTTCCGAATAATTTTCTACGTGTTTAATTTATAGAACAACCATATAAGAACCTATATTACTGCCGAACAGCTCGTGGTCTGTGACAAGACAAAAATTTTGATAAATGGTCCCTCATCACTAAAAGGTTAAGAACCACTGTTTTAGATGATCAACAAGCAGAATTGTATCTGCTCCATTATTCCAGTCTTGACTTGTTTAGGTGGTTTAATGTGCAGTTTGTATGTCACAGTGTCTTTGTTCAGTATAACCTATAATACCTATTATGAAGAGATTTTTTAAACATCCTATATATATAAATACACACATGCACATATATGAAGTCCTGAGTAAGACCCAAGATATTGGAATTTAATGATTGTCTGATTGAGAAGTTGAACTTTGACTCTAGCACTTGTATAAATAACAAAATAAAGATGAAATGGGAAAACAAAAAACTTTTAGAGAAAAGAAAATGTCATATAAAAAAATTTAAGATTTTTAGGTGTCAGAAGGGTCATAATGTGCTAAAATACAAACAAACATTGCTTGGTTGGAGTTGAGATGCAGTGTCAAATTGTATATTGACAATCAACCTTTCTTGCAGCCTGATCTGGCAATTTCACCTGGATACAGAGAAAAGAACAAATTGGAAAGTGATGAGAAGTTGTAAAAACCAATTGGACCACTTAATTTGGAAACAAACTATAAAATCCCATTTCAAGAGCATGGAGACTTTCTTCTCCCAAACATGGTGACACACAATCATCTTGTCTTTTCTTTGCACTTGTGCTCAGATTGCCACCTATATCACACCTTTTCTCTATCTTCAACCCACCAATTTCCATCTGTCATATCTCCAGAGTCATCAATGACTTTGCTCTGGGGCCAACAAATCATCAGAGTAACATAACCAATGACTTAGCCTCTATTCTGGACTTTCCCAAGAACACATTGCCTAAACAGATCTTTCAAATTGAGGAACTTTCTAAACACCTTTTGATTTAATAAAACAGGTTATATTGTAACAATAGAGTCTGCCTCAATGCCTGTCACACCCATATCTAACCACCATCACACCTCTGTTCATCCTGAATTGAAACCATTTCCATTGGCAATCTCACACATGCACACATACAAACAAAATCATTTAAAACATAAGTCATCATTTTTAAATAGGAAAATTATGAATTAAAACACCTCAAAAATTTATAAATTTATTGTCTAAAATTCAAAAAAATTGTTAGACATTATTATTAAATTAGAAGTCTTACTTAAATTAATAAATTATTATCTATCACATTAATTAAAAGATAAAAACTATATTCTGATAGATCAGAGGACAGCAATCTTTCAGCAATATTGTGCCAAACCTATTATAAGTTATAGTGTTATTCCAGGTCCCGACATGATTCTACAAATTTTGTTACATGTATTATCAAAATTGGTCCAATTATAATGGACTTCAAAAATATATAATTTTGAAGTTAAGTTGTTTATTAAATAGTGTTCTCACATGTGAAGTACATGCATAACACGTAAACGGTGACATGGAGAATAAATGCACATGCTGTAATATAAATATACAATCTTATTTTGATGATATGAAACCGTGCTTCGCTATTTGTTTATGCTTCTGACACAATATAGTGCTATAAATTAAGACACTTGGCGGATTTTCTCATCTTTATTTTGATGATATGAAACCGTGCTTTGCTATTTGTTTATGCTTCTGACACAATATAGTGCTATAAATTAAGACACTTGGCGGATTTTCTCATCTTTATTTAGTTGATACGTGTGGAAAAAATTACACGTTTCGAGCTCTTAAGCCCCTCTTCAGTCAACTAAAACATTTAAAAAGGATATAACATACACATAAAAAGGAATACNGAAACGTCTTTGCACTGTAATCACGGAATTACACTTCGCAAGCTCAAGAATACAAAAGCTTTTGTGCTGTGGCGTAGCCATTTTACAACAACTGTGAATACGTCATTGTAACCAAGCACAACTGACATCTGGGGACAAACTAGACAATGCACTCGTTCCTCCGATACCCGCAGCACACCGCTACTATCGATAGTTTAATAAATATATCAGTTTGAAATACGTATATTCTTTTTGGTCCACCCTGTATTATTGAATTCTATAATCTTTAAAAACTACTTGGATTAAATAAACATTTAATACCTTTACATAAAATGATTACAAAAGACATGTTTGTGAAATTTCAAATTTTCTTGTATGAATTGTTCTATCAGACAAATATGAAACTGCACAATAAACAAATACAAAAAAGGCCTTAAAGAAATTGATATTTTATAATCCACTTCTTATAGGAGGTGAAACCAAAATTACTCCATCTCCACGAACAAAAAGCATTTGGATGTTCCTTTTTGTAGTCTATATAAGGAAAAAAAAAAAAACATTTAATATTAAAAAGCTTCATATTAGTGAACATATTTAATTTTTCAAAACTTAAAATTTTAATTTATACCATTTAACTTAATTATATGCAATATCACATATTCTTGTAGCAGCAGACATTTACACAGAAACAAGAGTTTCCATTAAAATTTGACAATACACAAATAACCATTCCCTAAATTAGATTTTAAAATCTAGCAAATAACATCTTAACAAATTTTACTATCAGATCAGCTAAATAGTAACCAAATTTTTTAAAAACTAATTATAAAGTATAATAAACATAACTACAAATTATTCATATAAATACATAGATTCATGTTTGGTTTGAATGTATCAATAGAATTAGTTGTAAAAGATTAGCAAATTAAAATAACTATTATAAATAATTTTTAATATTTCAGGATTCAAAGCACAAACTGAACAAGTAAATAGTGCTCTACATCTAAATTAATTACAGTACATTCTTCATAATCTGCCCCTTACTAATCTATCATCTCAATTTTCTGGCATACCCACAGTGTGCCTATGCACTTCTGTTTCTGTGAAAATGTTAATCATACTACACATTGTATTTTCCTGTTTTCTTGGGTTTTATTTAAGTATACAGCAAGTTGGGGTACAGTATATCATTTGCACTAGGCATGCTGTCAAAGTGGACAGATGTCCAGTCAATTTCCTCTTGAACAGACAGCCATTCTTTAAATTGTTTTTACCATAAATGAATTGACTTAATGTTGGTGGTATATTTCTTTGCTTACTCTGCTCAGAAACAACATTAATGGCAACCACTATTAACATTGCTTTGTTGCTCATACATGAACAACTCTATATCAGCACACAGTGTATTGCACCTCTACGGTATTCCAACTATATACTTTGTATATAGCTATTGTAACATCCGATATCCTGTGTATCCTCCACTGTTCAATTCTATGTCCCGCAGTGGCTCATGACCTCCCCCCTTCATTTTCCAACTTCTCTTCCCACCTTCATCCTCTTTGGCCTCTGCCAACAATCACCTTCCTTCCATCTAAGACCTTCTCACTTCATTTCATCTCCTTAGAGCAGTGGTCCCCAACCCTCGGGCCGCGGACTGGTACCGGTCCGTGGATCAAATGATACCAGGCCGCCCAAGAAACATTAAATTATTTCCATTTTATTTACTATGGTATTTCCTCGGATTTGTGTGACTTTTAATGGACAACGGAACAACGGAATAAACTGGACATAAGAAACACACTTCGGGTGTCACTGTCTCCTATTACCCCCAGATGGAACAGTCTTGTTGCAAAGAAACAAGCTCAGGGTCTCAATGATTTAGCGTTCTAATGAGTTAAAATTTTAAATCACATTATATTCATTTTTTGGTGTAACTGTATATTACTTTAAATACAATTAAATTAAAATAATTAAATTAAATTAATCTAAAATATAAACAATCAATGTCCCCCCTCAGTGGGCCGCGGTAAAATTATCAAACGTTGGCCGGTCCGCGGCAATCAAAAGGTTGGGGACCGCTGCCTTAGAGGAACTACCTTTGAGTAACGCCTCCTATATACTTTCCATAATAATAATAATAATAATTATAATATATCAGCACACAATGCCTTCTCTCTTGCAGAGAGAGCCATTTTCAC